CTCAATAATAAATTTGTTTTTGGGGCCTCTATTGTGAAAAGTTTTTTTCCACTGGAAAAATGCATTTACTTAGCTCCTGACGCCAATGAAAGCTTGGGGCTTCTCTTGAGCTGAAGATCTGAGGCTGCAAAGCAAAAGGATTGCTGAGAACAATTACAAAGCACCTGAGAAAGGAAGCTGAATACAATCTATGAAAGGAAAATGAATACTACAATCAATTACAAAAGATCCCTCACCAGGAATCCAGATTTGTTTTGGTGATAGTTCATTATAGATGCCCCCCTGTTTGTTTGAAGGGGGGGGGCCTTTACTAATCAGGATCCAACATTAATGCAATTTGATCAACAGCTTTGTCTAGTCAATTTTGAGGCCTCAGAGACACGTTGTGAAAAACTTAGCCACCTTGAGACTTCCGACCAGCTATGTTGATGGTGGGAAATCCATCTGCCAAATTTTGCAAGTGCATAGCTTTGCGCTTGCTCACGTAATCTCGCACGTTTGGATCTCCCATGGCTCTGGAACGGCATAATCCACTTCGGTAAAATCCACTTGTCCAGTTTACTTGATTTTGGAGCCCTGGCTTCATCCATCCCTGCGCCTTCTCGGCGCCTGCATCCAACAAGAGCCGAACCACTTCCACGTGGCCATTCACAGCTGCCCACATTAAAGCTGTCTGACCTCGGCTGGGTTGGGCATGGAGTCTTCCGCAACACAGACACACTGCCTAGGCCAGCTTGAAGTTCAAAGCATGGCTGGACAAACTTGCCCAGCTGATCACTGCGCAGCTTGTTGGCGGAGATCATTCCGTTGAGAGGACAAGAGATCTCCAAAGTCTCTGGTGGTCCACCCCTTCTAAAAAACACACGTTTCCAATATGCGGTGGTCTACGTACTTTCTCATTAAACCCTTTAGTTTGACTCAAACTTGTGATTTTCAACAACTTGAGTTAAGTTAACTCCGACAACATAACACGTAATTATGCGTAAGTAAATCTTCCAAAGCTACACCAACTTAGTTATGAGATGTTATGAGTATCTTAACTTGGCGGTAGATCACAGTAGATTCACAGCTGCAGCAGAGTTCTATGACTGAAAACCTATAGAAACAGCCGTCCAAGCTATAGTATAGTATCTGTTTTGGGCCACTAGCTACGCAGTAGGTAAGATAGCAACCTATATACGGCAAAGGCTACATATTACGCGTCGGGTGAAAATACAGATTGGAAGCTTGTGTGGACGCCGCATCTGAGCTCGGTGCCACCTCTGTCTTGGCAATCCTAACAAATGGGTCCCACTTGCCAGATGAAAGCCCCAGGCTTGGAAGATAATGCAATTTGATCAACAGCTTTGTCTAGTCAATTTTGAGGCCTCAGAGACACGTTGTGAAAAACTTAGCCACCTTGAGACTTCCGACCAGCTATGTTGATGGTGGGAAATCCATCTGCCAAATAAGTTGGACATATACCTGGCTATGTTGCTTGAGCCGTGCCTTCTCAGCACCAGCTTCAAGCAAGGCAACCACAATCTTCTCACGACCCTTGAGAGCTGCTAGATGCAAAGCTGTCCAACCTTAGAAAATGGATGAACATGGCATTTCAAGGCATGTTTGCAAGAAGCAAGAACTCCGGATCATGGGAGCGCTGGCGAAAATCCTCTTCAGATGTGGTTGCCGCCTGGCTGAGCCGGATCAACGGGCTGGTTTGAGCCGGCATCAAATCATTTGCACTGAGACTGAATGCTGTGAATAAGTCAAGCTACTGAAGCAAAAACACTGCTTGGGAAGATGATTGAAGCCTGTCAGTTGCAACAGTGCCTGGTTAGCACCATTCTTCAACAAGACTTCCAGGACATTCAACTGCCCGCAATCAGCTGCTAGCAGCAGCGGGGTTCGGCCTCGCTGCGACAGTGGCCCTGTGCGCGAATTATTGAAAGACATCGTGTTACTAGTAGCGTCCTTGTTGCTAGTAGTAAGGCCAGAAGAAACCCCTAGTCGCATCCTTGCTCCTAGTAGCGATGCCAGGAGCCCCTAGTAGCGAACCTTGTTCCTAGTGCTGTACTGAAAGGGATGTTGAGGCCCATGCCAAATTTGTTGACAAGTTCCTGGAGGAGACAAGGACAAATAACCCGGCGGGTGGATTTCCGAACGTGTGGCTTGCACGTCCGCAGGATTTGTCCATCTGGCTGAAATGCGCATTTTTCATCTCGTTTTGTTCTTCGAAGACTGCAACATGATGGCATTTCCATTGGGTTTCACCATTCGTCTGTGATTTGCGATGTAAACCGCGTGTCAGACTGAAGGAATCAGCATCACCAGGGAGTCATGCTTTGCGTTTTCCCATCGCCTGAAGGAAACCGTGAAAAGGAAAGAGGCCAACGATCATCCAACAATGACAGGTTCCTGAACAAACAACAGGATGGGGTCAGATGGAGACGTCAACACTTCTACCGAAGAGTCCAAGCACAACGCGTCTACAACAAAAAAGGAGCCAAGACTGGCTGCTTCTTAAATGAAATTACACCAGCATAGACCCAGATAGCTAGGAAGAATCCCACGACCTGTTGACATGCGACTGGCTGGAACAAGAATGAGCCAGCTTACCTCCACAGCGCGCACAATCAGCTGACACCAGCACCTGTGCGCTTTCCCAGCTGACAACACCGGCAGCGGCGCCAGCACCCGACGCCGCCTGTCTTAAACGCGCGCTCAGCCAGCTCACAGCACCAGCACCCAGGACCACAACACCAAACACCCTTTCGAAAGCGCGTGCAGCCAGCTCATTCTTATTTGCAGCGAGAACCCCATAGCTATCCCTATTTGGGGAATAACAACGCATGATCTTGCGCGTATAAGTTTACGCGCAAAGTACGCGCGCAAACAGCAACGCCCGTAAGTGCCATTGGCCCAAGGCCAAGCAGTATCCAGCGCCACTATTGACTTTGTAGCATGCTTGAAGCAACGATCTGCAGCACGATAAGGCCGTATGATCTTGCGCGTATAAGTTTATGCGCACAAAAGTATGCGCACAAATGGCAACGCCCGTAGGCTTCACTCGCCCAAGGCCAAGCAGTATCCAGCACGACTTGTGTGTGTAGCATGCTGAAACATGCTGAAGCAATGGTCGGTTGAGAGCCTGACGTTGCGCATAGAACATTATACATACAAAAGTATGCGCGTAAACAGTACACCCCTTGACACAGCTGTCGGCCAAAACAGAACCTGAAGAGTGTAAATACCCCACAGCGCTAATAGACAAAGAACGCTCAAGTGACAACACCATATATGATGTTGCGTGCATAAGTTCATGCGGCCCATGACTGCTGGCACTTCATTGTCAGAAGCGGCGCTTGGTCGCCCTTCACTGCTGCAAGCGGCGGTTTGTTACCCTTCACTGTCAGAAGCGGCGGTAGTTATCACTTCACTGTTTATGCAAAGGCAAAAAATGACGACTAGAGGAGTTCAGCACGCCAGCTCACGACGCCCAGCGCCAGCACCCAGCACCGGTATACCCAGCACCCAGCACCCGGCACCGTGTCACCACGCGCACAGCCAGCTCACAGCACTCAGCACCAGCACCACAGCCAGCACCGGCACCCGGCACCCAGCACCAGCAGCCTGTCTCCACCGCTCACAGCACCACCACCAGCACCAGCACCCGGCACCCAGCACCAGCACCGGCACCCAGCACCAGCAACCTGTCTCGAAAGCGCGCACGGGCAACTCATTGTTATTTGAAGTAAGAACACCATAGCTGTCTTTATCTGGGGAAAAATACCGTCAAACGAAACAACAAAAGCAACAGAAGAGAGAAGACAAACCTCGTCGCCTCCGGACATTCGAACCGAAACTGCAAGCGCAACATGAAGCAACAGAACGTTCTTATCCCCCCAGCCCCCCCACACCCCAAGGCAGGGTTTGTCAGAGTACTTGCCACCGCTCAACAGTCAACAGGAGTGTTGAAGTTTGGGCAGCGGACATTAGAGTGGCATCTTGGAGGAGCAACCGTGCTGTGCAAAGCTTGGGGCGATCACATCGTGTGCGATCTGCCACCCAACTCAACAGCTCCTGCCTTGTTGACATTGTTGCGAAGCAATAGATTCACGACAGCAAGGTGACCCTTCCGCGCAGCTCGATGTAGCAAAGTGTCTCCTCGACTCAATGCAGAACAGGAGAAGTGAAGGCCGAGGCCCTCATGGCAGCAAAGGGCCCGGGCCATGCTCATCGCTTCTCTCCTGCCAAAATGCTCATTGCAGTTCAGGCTGCAGGAATTTATTTCAACGTTATTTTAAAGACGCAAGTGGAAGTCCAAGGACTCAAAGGCAGCACTTTATCATCAGCTTCCTGAAACAATGTCAACGTCAGGAAGATGCTTCCCTCCTGTTCAGCTTTGTCGAAAAGGACCTCCAAAACTTCAGCTTGTCCGAATTCTGCTGCCCAATGGGCAGGTAACTCTCCTTGGTCAAAGGAACAAAAAACTAATTACAACAAAACCAAAGCAACCACGCACAGTTGCAGACTGGACTGGGATATATTCACGACCGGTTTTCGATTGTCGATTTCATTCTGCACTGGACGAATGAGATGCAATGACACATTTCCTGACTCGACTTTTGCAAGTACTTAGCTTGCTTCTGCTACAATACAGTTTCCACAATGGTTTTCACTGTTTCAAAAGATTCCTTCTCAATCCCCAGGCATTGACAGCGAAGCTAGGAGCTGAGACGCGCACCGACAGAGTTAGCCACAGCCTGAGTTGACAGTCGAAAAAACAGTTTCTGCAACAAACTTCTTGCTGGCAATGGTGAAAGAAGGCTTACCGGGCACCTTGTTTGCACCTTGATCAATCAAGAACTTTGCAATCTTTGCATGGCCACCCTTGGCAGCCCAGTGCAAGGCCACCTCACCTCGGCTCAGACTTTGATCGCGTTTAGAAAGCAATGACGGGTTGGATGGATATTGACAGTCTCAGAGCGCTTCTGTCCAAAAAATCCAAAAGTTATCCAGACAAAGACCCCAAACAGGCATAAACAGGCACACAACGATATGAAAGGGCACATATGAGAGCATGCAGCACGCGTATGAGACCACACATATACGAGCACCTGTATGAGGAGTGCAACACGCATCATATGAGGCAAGCACAAGAGAGCACACACACCATAAAACACACATATGAGAACTCACGTATGAGAGCGCATATCAAAACACCCACACGCAGAGCACAAATACACGAGCACACGTAAAGGAGCACAAAGGACACGCGTCTTCCCCGGAAAATGACCATCAAGTACAAAATGTGCACGACAAAAATAACCACAGCCACACACAGCCAAAATACTGCGCCTGCCACGAAAAGCGACCATGCAAAAACCGTGAGGACTACATAGGACAACTTTTTACGTGAAGGTCGACCAAAAAGCGGCTGGGAGGCAAATGCGAACCCTGGCCACCAACCTTGCCTTGCCCTCACCGTAAGAACCCTTCAGTTGACAACCTGTTTGGGGAAGTGGAAGATGACTTGGCATACGTCAACACAGAAACGAATCAAACACACTCTGCAGACTAAGGCATCCAACCCCCGGCCGTCGGAGCATCCTGTCGAACAAGCCACAGTACCGTGAGTTGCAACGGGCTCTTCTGTCAAACTCTGAGCATTGCAGCATCCAATGTATACTGTATACTTATCAATGTGGAAGCACATCATTTGCAGTTCTAGCTAGCTTGCGTCACTAGTAGGGATGTAGGTCAGGCTAGCCAGGCCTTGTCCACGCCCATGGCCAATATCTTCTGCAGCTTCTCGAGGTCGCCATCACGTGCGGCTGCGTGAATGGCATCGACACCTTGGGACTTCAAGAGCCGCCGGTCTGATGTTAGGACCACACGTTCTTGTTCACCACCATACGGTACGGACCACAAGTCACCATGCAACCTGTTTCTGTGCGAAACTGTAGATTGCCTCGTCTCAGTGTGGCTTTGATCTACACGAGCACTAAAGTCACTGTGAGCCACTGTTCTCCCTGCAAACGCGTCTGCTGCATCTTTGTACAGGTGCTTGTTCCTGGAAGGAACCTCTCTCGTGTCAGTGAGGACTCGGCCCGCGCGTTCGTCCTGCCACTCGAGCAAAGCAAGATCGGACCGGGCTGCAAGTATACAGTGCAGACTGACAACTGGGCTTGGGCATGGGATTAACTGTTCACAGGTAATGGAAGGATTGCATCATGGGGACAGCCACATTGTGAAGCCTGAATGTTTCCCGTAAAGCATTAAATGATGGTGACAACCACCATGAAGCAAACACATTGGGATGTATTCTTGTCCCCCCACCTCTTCATGTTAATGGGCACGGTTTCTCCTGCACACTTCGCAGATTCTTGTGCAGTTCCTCCTTCTCCGCCTGCGTTCTTTGCTTGTCAACAATGGCAACACATGTCGACATGATGGACATCGCTCTCAAAAACACAAAACTAGCTAGGAGCAAGGACGCTACTAGGGGCTCCTGGCATCGCTACTAGGAGCAAGGACGCTACTAGGGGCTCCTGGCCTTACTACTAGGAGCAAGAAGCTACTAGACTCAGATAATCCCCGCGCCTCGCTACAACCTTTGTCCTTCAGTGCAAGCTGCAGCCGCAGTTCTTGCGCTTGCAGCTGCAGCTCCTGGTGCTGCTGGGGATCTGATCCCAGTAGCCGGAGCTCCTCGTTCAGCGCCCGTACCTGTTCCACGACCTGCACGCGTTTGGCGCGGCACAGTTCCAAACCATCCAGGCTTTAAAAACATGAAATCAATCAATACTGCCTCCTTCGGAGTATCGTCCTTCTCCAATATCTGCTCCAATTTCTCTTGCAACTTCTGGTGCTTCTTGGGATCTGCTACCGGTATTCGGAGCTCAGCCTCCAGCTCCAGTATCCGTTCCACCTGAATGTTGCTGGTCAACGCCAAGCCTATAGTAACTACATGCCATGTGTTGACAGAGTTTTCAAACATCCAGACTAAGAACAAC